TCTCTGGTTTGTTGGTTGTGTCTTTGTACTCTATTTTTCAGTGAATATAAATTCTTATTTTTAGGCCAGGCATGGTGGCTCATGCTGTAATCCCAGCATTTTGGAGGCCAAGGTGGGAGGTCACTTGAGGCCAGGAGTTCAATCCAGACTGACCTTGTCTCTACAAAAAATAAAAATACTTAGTTGGGCATGGTGATATGTCCCTGTAGTCCCTACTATTCAGGAGGCTGAGGTGGGAAGATTGCTTGAGTCCAGGAGTTTAAGGCTTCAGTGAGCTATGATTGTGTCACTGCCCTCCAGCCTAGGTGACAGAGCAGGACCCTGTTTCTAAAAATAAATAAGTTCTATTTTTAACATAGTCAGATTTATTAGTCTTTCCTTTATCATTTCTCTTTTTCAAGTCCCAGGAATCTTTCCTATCCTGCAGTATCCCCACTAAAAATAAGAAGATCTATACAAAGAAAGATAGGGAATTTCTAAGATACATCATTTAATGGAAGCAAAATGCAGAAGGAAATATAATAATGTGCATCGTGTGTGTGTACAAGCCAGGCAAAGGAGACATACACATGCGTTTATATGTACATAAAATATTTCTGGAAAGGTACAGAAAACACTGATAACAGTGGTTGCCCTGGAGAGGGATTCCAGGGGAGGAGGAGAGTGGGAAAGAGACTTTATATATAAGCCCTTTTGTATTTATTTCAGTATTTTCCCCTGCTGTAATATTACCATTCAAAGGACTAAATCCCAGAGAAGAGTTTTGCCACATATATAACTGACAAATGAAAGACGCCCAGAATATTAAAGAACTCCTACAATGTAATAAGAAAAAGACACAAGCAATACACTAGAAAAAGGGGCAAAAGACATGAATAACTGAGCACTGGGAGGCCAAGGTGGGAGGATCACTTGAGGCCAGGAATCTGAGACCATCCTAGGCAACAAAGTGAGACTCCGACTCTACGAAAAATTAGCCAGATGTGGTGGTTCACACCTGTAGTCCCAGCTACTCGAGAGGCTGAGGCAGGAGATTTCCTTGAGTCCAGGCGTTTGAAGTTGCAGTGAACTGTGATCATACCACTGCAGTCTAACTCTGGCAACAAAGTGAGACACTTTGTTTTTTCTACAAAAAAAAAAAATCTGACAATACTAAGTAATGGCAAGATTACAGAGCAACAGAAGTGACCATCTGTTGCTGATGGTAATGTAACTTGGTCTTAGCACTTTCGAAAACAGTGATTTCACCTAATACCCTATGACAAGCAATTCCACTCCTGGGATGGATGAATTCTTGCACATTAGGATGTGGATGTGTTCCATCTTCATTGCATTTGGGAGTGAGGAAGAGTGGGAAAAAGTAAGTAACCCAAATGTCCACCAATAGGAGAAGGGGCAAATGTGTGGATGAATATTCATGCAACATCATACAATACAGCAGGAAACGAATAATATGCCATAATGCTTAGCAAAAAGCGAAAGTTATGGAAGAGTACAAATTCAATAAATAATAAAGTTTAAGAGGCAAAACTAAACAATTTGTTTAAAGAGATACATTCGTATGGGAAGAAATGACTTTTTAGAAAAACATATTAAAGATATTAACATTTAGGGGAATGATTAACCCCAAACTCAGAATATTGGCTACCTCTGGAGGTGAGGGGAGAGTTAAGCTTGGGGGGTCCACAGGAGCCCCTAAGGCACTGTAAATGTGCCATGCTTTCAGCTGGCTGATAGTGGTACACTGGTGTTTCTTTTATCAGGTTTATTTCAACTGTAAATGTATATTGTTTACAATCTCTTGTATGCATGATGTATTTGATGTGATTTTAAAATATACACATATACATGCCTGCACACGCGTGCACACACACACTCAAAAGACCTCCAAGTCAGGTCGCCTGGCTTTGGATATTGTTCCAAATAAGTGCCCAATGTCAACACTCATAATAAACATGGAATAAAGATGATTTCAGTGGACCACTGATTAGATGACAGGACCTTCCTGCCTTCCTACCTCTTGCGGTGTGATCCTGGAATATTTGTGCTTCCCATAGGGTTTGTAGTCGATCATGTAGGAGCTTTGGTATGTATCTAAATCCACTGGAGCCTAAAGCACAAAGGAAAATACAAAATGAGATCTTGCCTTGTCATTCTTCCATTTAAAGCCATTCAGTGGCTTCTCGTTGTTTGCTGGACAAAACCCCAAGTTTTGGGCCTGAAATTCAGGGGCTTTACTGATCTGGCTCCTACTGCCTTTACCATCCCACCCCCTCCCTGCCCTCTGTACTCCGGCCTCACTCCCTCCCACTCGCACAGGCCTGGCACCTGCTCTTATCTGGTGGAAACACTAGTTGCCCTCCTCACAGACTAGCAAACTCTATGTGTCCTCCAAGACCCAGAATAACGTCACTTCCCCAAAACATCTTTACCACTCTTTCATTCTCCACCTCCCTAAGGTTAAGTCATTTCTCCTCTGCTTTCATAGCGCGTTTTACATCCCTCCACTATGGCGCTCATCCAGGTGTGCTGTACTGGATTTAATGAAGCACAATACATCAAGACCTTATCTTAGGCATCTCTGGGGCCCCAATGCCCAGGATAGTGTAGGCACACTGTGGGTGCCTACTAAATGCATGCTGAATAAATACCCAAACCCCTGAAAATTTTAGTTCTACTCTGTTGCAAAAACAAAAACCAAAAAAATGTCATTCCAGACTGACAACCAGAAAGAGCCCCAAAGAGCCCGGCCCTCCCCTGTGGCTGCTTGCTGAGGCTACCCCACCCTGAGTTGGTCACAGGGCACAGAAACCCACATCACTCACCTGTCCGGGGTACACCACACCTGACATGGCCAAGGACCTAGACACAGACAAGTTGCTTAGCCTTGCTCTGCCACAGACTGGGGAAATAGCCACTGTCCCCACAGCTGTGCCAAGTGAGCCCCCTAACCCATCCCCCCCTTCCCTGGGCTCCCACCCTGCACATCGTTCCATCATCCAGGGGCTGGTGGTGACACCAGGGATGAATAGCCTAGTGGACAAGGGGGCTGGAGCAGGACTCAGGAGGAATTAGGCTGTTTAGAACATCACATTTACCTCTCAAAAAGGTAAATCTGATCTCAGGGCAAGCAGTGTACTGGAAAATGTTTAACAACCACTTTGGGGGAGCAAATAAGCCCTGGGTTTATAGCATCTTCCAATTTCTGGGGTGTAAATGCTCCCATCACAACCCATTTCAAACTATCGACGTAATGGTGAGGTATCCAAGGTGAAGAAAGTTGCGAAGCTCTGCATCCTCAGTTGAACAATAGGACCTTGGAGGTCCAACCCCAGCCCTCATCCCCAGCCCTAAAGTCCTAGGGGAGGCCTCACTGCCCTTGTGTGCATGGACTCCCAGGTTACCGACAGGTACTCCACTGCATTCCCCAGAAACCCTGCCCTGAGCCCACCTCCCTTCAGTGGGCTGTGGCCCAGCAGGGGGGTGACCAAACCTCAATCAGCCCCTGTGTCCCCTCCTTTTTGTGCATAGGCAGCTTCTCTCTTAGGGCTAGAGACCTGCTTCAGTGCAGACAGAGCCTACCCCTCATTCCGCCAAGGCAAGACGCCGCTCCTGCCTTCCCACCTGCAGGTGTCCCTGCCACAAGAAACGTCCTGCTGCGATGTCCCACTGCCACACCTGTCTTTGAGATGAGCCCTGACCTGAGTGTAGGAGGCTGTCTTGGTCACAGGCCCCCATCATTGTGAGGTGGTGGCAGGTCAGGCTGCCTGCGTGCCAGTTCCCCTGTCCCTGGCTCACTCCCTTTCAGTGAGTCGCTGGTGTCTCAGCACACTGGAGCCAACATGAGCCCTGGCAGCACTGGGAGGTGCCAGAGGGAGGTGCTTTCCAATACTCCATAGTATCGATCTGTTTTCAGGAGAGGGGGGTAGACAGAACCCCACGGGGTTTATGACATCAGACCACCTGTGACTGAATCCACCTGATAACAGAACCCCTCCAGGCCTCCGCTGCCTGAAAACCTGGCTCAAAATTGTCAAAATCCTACCCTCTTTTCAAACTCATCAGTGACTATAATCAAAACAACAGAAAACAATAAGTTTTGATGAGGACATGGAGAAATTAAAACCATGTGATCCAAAGTTGCCATACGATCCAGAATTCCACTTCAAAAAAAATTGAAAAGAATTGAAAACAAGGAACCAAAAAACCAGAACCCAAGGGTCAAAACAACAATAACCAAAAAAACCAAAAAGGGAAAAAAAACCAACCGGCCAACAACAAAAGAAAAGAAGAACAAAAGGGGGGCCAAAAAAAAAAAAAGAAAACAATCAGCCTTTTTAAGAGGAAGGAAATTCTGATACATGCTACAACATGGATGAACTTTGAGGACATCATGCTAAGTGAAATAAACCGGTGAAAAAAAGACAAATACATGATTGTACTTATACAGACCAGTCAAATTCATAGAGACAGAGAGTACAATGGTGGCCGCCAGAGGCTAAGGGGAGGAAGTAACAGGAGTTATTGTTTAATAGGTGTGGAGATTCAGTTTGGGAAGATGAGAAAGTTCTGGAGACGGATGGTGGTGATGGTTGCCCGTATGAGAACTGTTCTTGTTTCCTTCTCCCACTGTAGCCTGGAGAGAGCTTCGCCCCTGGTTTCTGTCTATGCAAATTCAGCATGTTAATATTGTTAAATCACAGGAGGAAATTCTTCTCCCCAACCAGAAGCCCTCGAGTTCCTCCAGGCTTATATTAAAGGGATTACAATCCATTTCCTTCCTAATACGGCTAATGCGCTATGGGAAGCCCTCAGGCCAGGGATTAAAGCATTTACGCCTTTAATTAGGAGCAACCCTTCCCTTAGAGGCTGAGACACAAACACTACAAAGGCCTCCTCCCCGGCACAGTGGGGATATTGCTCCCTCTCCAGGAGCCTGGAGCCTCCAAGGGCTTAGCAAACACTGCCTTTCTCAAATGAAGTGCAGAAATAGAACCCTCTTCATGTGAAGAACAAACAAACAAACAAAAAACAGATCCCGAGTTAATTCAGGATCAGCCCCTGCGCACAGCAGGGCAGGCGAGAGGAATCCACCCCGTGAAGGGGCCTTGCAGAGTTGCCATCTCCAGGAGGATGGGGGACGCTGATCATCCCACCGCCTCACGTGAGCACACTGGGTCATTAGGTTTCAAGTGGACCGCTCTGAAAATTAATACCTGTTGTGCCTCAGAGAGGTCTGTCCCCAAACGGATACTTTCACGAGCCCCACACACAGGGTCTGTCATCCTTTTCCATTTTCCACTCATAGAAACTAGCTGGTGCACCTAGCGCAGGGTTTCTGCAAGTGCAGCCGAGTGACCCTCTGTTTCAAAATCCCCTGGGATACACATTAAAATCCAGATTCCTGCTGTCTCCTTTCTGTGTCAGAATCTCTGGGAGATGAGCCAATCCTGGAATCCACCTTTAATATTCTCCGTAGGTGATTCGTATGATTCCAATGCACAGATAAGAGGAGACCATGGCTGGACCACCGCCATGGTTTACGGAGTGGGAAGCTGAGGCCCCGGACTCTTCTAGGGACAGACAGAGGCAGACAGCCAATCCGGGCCCGGTGGGGGGGAATTCAGGGCAGGGGGGTGCAGGGTGGTGGGTGTGCACAGCACCTGAGAAGTGATCCCAAAAGAGCCCATGAGATTGTTAAAGTAGGGTGAGAGCTGGGGGCCTTTTGCTTCATTTGTTCAACACGATGTGCATTGACTGCCTTAGGTGAGCAAGGTGTGGTGCTAGATGCTCTGTGTGTGCAGTAGAAAGAAGGGCATTTGTGGGATGACAACCAAAGATGGAAAACACAATGTTCCTGCCATCCAGCACTTTACACACTGGTAAGGGGGAGGGGGAAGGAAGTCCTCAAAGGTAGGCAGGAGCCGACAGGCAGGGGAGGGCCATCTGGTGTTGAGCGGGACTGGAGAAATGGCAGGTGACAGGTGGAGAGGAAATCAAGTCTTAAAGGAGAAGCTTCTTTCTCTTGTCCAAACCTGGCTCTTCACCGAAGTCTCAGCCACTCCCTGACCTCCAGTGGGAAGGACTTCCTGACTGCTCAGGCTCCCCATATTCCTTTTCTCTGAACATACACGACACTTCTATGTCTTTATTTGGTTATGCATTTTTTTAATTCCCAAAAAAAGATTTGAACTGCCTTTTTCCTCTTGAATTTTTCTGAGACTATCAGACTAGACCTGTACATGCCAAACCCTCAATAACGCTCTTTGGTTGTATGGAGGATTTTTAAAGATCAGCCTGGAAAGACAGGCTGGATCTGGGCAATGAAGACCTTCAACGCGGGCACAAGAAGTGGGACTTTCACAAGGGAGGTGAGTGCAGACGGGAAAGAGTTTTAGAGTCAGATGATTTTGCGCTTTATCTCAGCTCTACCACTTACAAACTGTGTGGTTTTGGGTCAGCTATTTATATTCTATTTTCAATTTCCTTAAAAGTGGGCCAGGTGTGGTGGTTCACACCTATAATTCTAGCACTCTGGGAGGCCAAGGCGGGAGGATCACTTGAGCTCAGGAGTTTGAGACCAGCCTGAGCAAGAGTGAGACTCCGGCTCCACTAAAAATAGAAAAAATTAGCTGAGCAACTAAAAATAAAAACAAAAAATTAGCCAGGCATGGTGGTAAGCACCTGTAGTCCCCAGCTACTTGGGAGGCTGAAGCAGGATCACTGGAGCCCAGGAGTTGAGGTTGCTGTGAGCTAGGCTGACCCCATAGCACTATAGCCCAGGTGATAGAGCAAGACTCTGTCTCAAAAGAAAAACAAAACAAAACAAAAACAAAAAACAATAGATGTTGGCATAGTAAAAAGGGAACACTTACACAGTGTTGGTGAGAATGTAAATTAGTACAAGCTCTATGGCGATCAGTATACAGATTTCTTAAAGAACTAAAATTAGATCTTCTCCCACATCATTTGCTACAAAAAATAAAATAAAATAAAATTAGATCTACCATTTCATCCCACAATCTTATTACTGGATATCTACCCAGAGGAAAGGAAACCATTATGTCAGAAAGATATTCATATGTTTATTGCAGCACAAGTCACAATTGCAAAGATATGGAACCAACCTAAGCGCCTATCAACTGATGAATGGATAAAGAAAATATGATCTATATATGTATGTATACACACACACACCTCCTACAGAGTACTAGTCAGCAATAATAAAGAATGTCTTTGCAGCAACTTGGATGGAACTGGAGGCCATTATACTAAGTAAAGTAACTCAGGAACAGAAAAACAAATGCCACATGTTCTCACTTCTAAGTGGGAGCTAAATTATGGCTACACAAGGGCACACAGAGTGATATAATGGACATAGGTGACTCACAAGGAGGAAGAGTTGGAGGGGATGAGGGATAAAAAATTACCTATGGGGCACAATGTACACTACTTGGGTGATGGGTACACCAAAGCCCAGACTCCACCACTCTACAATATATACATGTAACAGAATTCAACTTATACCCCCTAAATCTATTTTTTAATTAAATTTCACAAAAAGAAGAAAATACCCAATCCTTTGCTAAATATATGAAAATATTAAGAGTCTTTTAAACAGAGGTTTCAGTATCTAATCTGTCTCCCAGACTGCTTCTCCCAGTCAGAAGCTGTACCTAAGTCCTTTGTCAGTCTATGTCCTGGTTGGAGCCTCACAAAGGGTCACTTTGCTTCATTTTTGTGTCTGTTAGATCTCCTCAGCAGAAAGGAGAAAGAATTCTCTGTAAAAGTGAGAATCATACCAACACCAAAGAATTGTTGAGAAGACTCAATAGTAGAACAGTTGCCATGTCTGGCACAGTAAGAGGCTGAGAGACTGCGATTCTTAATTTGTTTTGTTTTATTGTTCAGAAAAGCTTCAGTTATTTCAGCAATGCTCAAAAATCTTTTTAAAAATTCATCCAGATTATCAGCTTCTTTCTATTCCATGACCATAAGGCTAAAATTATGTGACATAAGTGAGAAACGAGGTGCACGGTGTCCCCACACATTTTCCCAATAAAGGAAGCTTACTATTTTGAAAGTTAAATATGAAAAAAATTAACCCCTGTTTAAGAGAATCTCAATCTTTTCATATGTTTAGCAAAGGATTAGGCCTTTCACAGAATGAAAATACACAAATAGCCAATAAACACATCATTGCAAATCAAAGGCATGCAAATAAACATAAGATGCAATTTTCCACCTATCGGAGTGCCCAAAAAAGTTTAAATTATAATTTCCAGTACTGACATGAGGAAACAGGCACTTGTTTATACACTACTGTAACCTTTTTGAAGGCAATTGAAGGTACCTGTAAAAAATTTAAACAGCTGTATCCTTTGACTTAGCAATTACACTTCTAGGTGTTGGTCTTACATCAGTGATCATTCACTTGTGCAAAGACAGTTGATTAAGCCATTGCTTGAAATAGCAAAAACCTGCAATGACCTAAATCTACAGGACAACCTAAGTCAACAGGAACTAGTTAAAAAAAAACATGGATGCATACAAGCTATGCCTTTTTTTTTCTTTGAGACAGCATCTTTCTCTGTTGCCCAGGCTAGAGTGCAGTGGCATCATCATAGCTCACAGCAACCTCAAACTCCTGGGCTCAAGCGATCCTCCCGCCTCAGCCTCCCAAGTTGCTAGAACTACAGGTGCACACCACTGCACCTGGCTACTTTTTCTATTTTCTGTAGAGACAGCCTAGCTATGTTGCTCAGGCTGTTCTCAAACTCCAGGCCTCCCGCTTTGGTCTCCCAGAGCACTAAGATTGCAGGTGTTAAGCCACCTCGAGGGGCTTCTAGTATATCTTAAAATAATAATAATAATAAGATAGCTCTTCAGATGAACTGAAATGGAAAGATCTCCATGTCCATGAGAGGAA